GCGTGATTGAGGTTGAATACGTAATGAGGAGACTGTTTAGTTAATGACATGATAATGAAGAGAAAGTAGTTTCTCTGATGATGGTTGTGTGAGAAAAGGTCAGCTCTCTTTCTAAAGGGATTTCACTTTTGTTTGAAGACTTCACTGCTGTTAATCCGCAACACAGCTGAGAGGATGTTTCATTTCTGAAATCAATCTTTGTGATTTAAGATGGGAAATAATGTCAGTCTCATCCTTCAGTGAGGCGTTCTCTCATGCCAGGTGGGTGTATCATAAGGTACCAAGATTTTAAATTCTGGCAACAATTAAGCAGGTTGAACAGTTTACCTGTAAAACTCGATCAGCTATTAATCGTGCAAGTCAGCTGTTGAGCAGAATGGCCAAACATTTGCTTGGTTCCAGCTTTGCAAATGAGAGAATTTGCTGCTTTTCTTTTGATTTATATGATTGAGTTTTGGACTGTTGGTCTAACAAAATGAGTGATCTAAAAGCTTCACCTTGGGCTCTCCATTTTTTCACTGCTTTTGTACATTTTATAGACAAAACCGCCAATTGATTCGTTAGAAGAATAATTGACCGACTGCATCGTTCCCTCCCAAGCCCATGCCTTTTTAAAAGGAAAACTAGGCCATCTTAATACTGACCTGCTGTGTAGTATAATATTTCTGGTTTGGTTCAGACAAATGGCATTTGTTTTGATTTTCTTATTCAATACAATAATTTGCACAAAAAATCTAGAGTTGACTTTATATGCAACTTAATTGTCCATGATATCTGTCTGTCTAGGTGTCTTTGTATTCATTGGTTTCATCTCAGTAGCACTACCTCTGCAGGTTTGCTTGATGTTTTTTGAGAAATTCTTGAAGAATCCTCCTCCAAACTGGGTCAGGCTTAAATCCTGCAGGGTCAGGGATTTAGGTTGGATTTCTGCCCATCTATGAGCTGAAAACATTGTTCCAGGGATTCCCCAAAACTGAGTGAAGGAGCCCCTACTGAGCAGTCAGTGATAATCCCTGCTGGCTCCCACATTCAGACTTGAACGCCCAGAAGCAAACAAGACTTCTAACAAAGAAACACAGAGGTTTTTGGGGTCCTTGATGCTCTTTGTCCTGTTTAAAGTAAGAATGTTGATCCTTGAGGGAAAGTCTATTTAAAAACATCTCTCAGGCAAACAAATCCCAGATATTCTCTGATTCCAGCCTCTTAAATGTGAGAATTTGCTGTACAATCAATCATATTGATTGCACCTTTGGGTTTTAGACTGTTGGTCGGACAGAATAAGCAGTCAGAAGGTGTCAGCTTGGATTTCTAGGTATTGTGGTCCAAAATCAGAAAATAAATGCTTAGATGACTCAATAGTCAAAATTATTTTCATCCAGTACTGTACCAAACGTTTTCCTAAAGAGCAGTGACAATCTCTGCATCCAGAGAAAACTGGACTCGCCAAAGGTTGCCTGAGGAAATACGAAAATCTCATTTAATACTTTCAGGGTAATGACCAATTATCTCCTGCTGCCACTCGGGGGCCAGTGAAGTGCAATTGCAGCCTTATATGACAGTAACTCCAGATTAAAGTATTTGGACAGCAGTCAGAACCTTGGGTTAAATGTCCCAGATTATGTTTCAGCATCGGCACAAATGGGCAACCAACCTTCATCCAAGATTTCCTGGTCTCTAAGTGTGCTTCATATTTTCATTAGAGGTCTAGTGTAAGTGGTCAAAACATGTAACACGTAATGTAATTTCAGATGTCCTTTGACCAAACAATATTTAGTCAGGTATGGCCTCACTGATCTCAAAAAAGGAAAAATTAAACTTTGACTCTTGGTCTGCAATGTGTTTTAGCCACAAATCTCAGCATGTAAGATAAACCTTTCATGGTGGAGAAAATCTCATTCTGACTTTCTTTGCATCCAACAGGACGACCTACAGGTCCATTAATTCATAACAAATTAATGGAAAATCTTATGAGAATATGAGAATATTTGCAGAAAATCACATACAGAATGGAAGTTTCAGGATATAGTGTTTCTGCTCTCTGTACCTTCTTTCTTGTGGTGAACGACGGACGGCTCATCCTGTGTTCGTTTGTCTTCCGTGTCTTCCCCCTGTCAGTTCCCAACCCCCTCGGGAGCAGACTACCACGCCCCCTTTTGTCCTGTTGAATGCCCCGAGCTCTGAGTCTTTTAGCAGGGAAGTTAGGCTGAGAAAGACACTGAGTTTACCCCTCAGGCTATTGTTATCACGCCCCTCCAGAGGCCTGAGATGGTCTGGATGCTGATTTACATCACTGTTGTTGTTCTGAGCTGTTGGATTGTCCAACTCTTATTCCAAAACAGTCAGACCAAATCTGTCTATACCAGGGGTAGGCAACCTCCAGAGCCTAATGCAGCTCTTTAGTTCCTCTCCAGTGGCTCCCTGTGACAAAAAATTATAGATAAAGGTTAGTTTTTAACATTTTCATGTAACATTGTTGGAAACCCCTTACATTCTGTAAAAATGTGTTGCCATTATACACCAAATACATTTTTTGTCAACTAAAAATGAGTTAAAAGCAATTATACTACTAGCCACAGTCCCAAATTTGTTTTGTGGCTCTTTTCTTTTGATAGTAAAGGTTGCTGACCCCTGATCTAAGTATCTGTTGCGTCCAGATATTTTAATAACCACAATTTGCACTTTCTCCAAAGGCAGAAAAGACATCAGATGTATATTGCAGATCACAAGCAGACAATTTGACCCAGATTGGAAAAAACTGCAGTGATTTTTGTGATTTTCTCAAACTTTGTGTAAAATATTCAGATCTTAACTAGGTGCAAAGGCTGCATTCATGTGTCTTGATATGTCACAGAGCATTGTCCTTTGTGAGACTCATAAGGATTTTTCTCTGCAGGGATACAATGATGGTCTCAATTTGAGCTTTTCATTTTCACTTCAGGCAGCTTTAGTTTATTCGCTTTTAGAAATACTGAAAAGTACGGATAAAATGGACCTTTCTGAAATAGAAAGAGTCATGGATGAAGTGAGAAAGCCTAAGTCTCTTTTGCTGCAGACCTCTTTTTGTCTTTTCAAATGACACACAGACAGGACTTTGACGCAGCACGAAACTTCTGAGAATTAAATAAAAGATAGAAAAGAAGAATGAAGGAGCAATTCCATTTACCAAGTTGGTCAGGGAACTGTGTAAGCCTCCCAGAAAGAGTGGTTGTTGACGTCCCAGAAGCAGCCAGAATCTGAGCAAAAAGAGGAAATGATAGAGATAGAAAACAGGGGGGAAAGAAAGGCAGGAGGCAGAGGGCAGCTTCCTGACACGGCTCAGCTTTGTACGCTGCGGTCCGGCCGTATGCAAATGTCAGTTATGCTAATGTGCTCCCTCTGCGGCCGGTGGTGGTTAAAGGGCGCCATTCAATTACTCAGTCAAGATCTGGTGGTGAATTGGCCTCCCTTCATCTCAGCAGCTCAAATGGGCCATCAGTGGGCTATCAGGGGAGATGGGCGCTGAATAAAGGGGGCATTACGAGCGCGTATGAAAGCACTCTCTTATTCTGAGCCCCCCTACGCCCACTGAGGTTACAGGGTGAGAGGGGTCCCCGGGAAAATGTCTTTCCCTGAATGCACTCCTGTAAGTAATAATGGTATCTCAATGCCAAGTGTGTTTTTTTGAGGGTTTTGATTTGTTGCTGGCTGCTGCTGTCGTATGCACTTCTCTGAGTTCAAAGTTGTGAATGAGTGGAATGCAGTGTTATGTGAGTAGTATGCAGTGTTATCTATGTGGATGTCTGCACATGCGTGAGGAAGTTTAAAGGGATGGGAATGTTGTGAGGTTGGTCTGCATCATATGACATAGTTTGACGTTTACAGCAATCAAGGGATTTAAAAAAGGAGATTTTTGTACGGATATTTAGCCTCTTTTGGTTTTAACTGTCTGGTATCAAACAAGTGCTGTCAAGACTTTAGATCCTGCAAATAGACACTTTTAGGCCCTATAAAGGTATTTGAATAATGGTTAAATATGACAGCGGAGGAGAACATTATGTAAGTGTTGGGAAATGAGTCAAGTAATCATGAACATGAACATGAATATTTTGCAATGAGAAAAATACTTAAGACTCAGAGTAAATTTAATTTTAAACATATTTATTAGATGTATATATACTGTATTTTCAGGTTTAATAAACATAGTTATACTATATTTCTATAAATAAAAACATGTTGTCTTGATTATATTTCTGCTGGTCTCACAGGACAAAGATGTGTGAATCTATGTACGTATGTATATTTAACCCTAAAATGCAGAATTTAATTCACTATCCTAACATGTAATCTGAAAAGAACAAGCATCTAACAGCATCGTGCAGCATCAGCTGATGATTTTCATTCTGTAGGACACTTTAACACCACGGGACACGTTCATTATTGTTCCTCTGCAATTTAGTCCAGTCAATGCAGTCAGCTGCTCTTACAACACTATTATAACAGTATTGACCATTGAGGACAATGAGATCCTATCATCCAGCACAGGGTTTGACGTAGGTGTAATTTTTTCACAGCTGTGGTGATTGATTTTGGATTCTGACTCCATTCCTGTTTTAGAGCACTTTATCGTGATTGGAGGGTAAATTATAAGTAATTCCATATTGCTGTTTGCATTCTGGGTAGAAAAGGGAATATGCTTTATTTTTTGGCCACTAGGGGTGGTGGAACAAGCTGGAAACACAACATCTGACGTATCAATTTAAAAAGGCGGAATCTGCTGTTATCTCTATTTTTGGTCTCCACCAACTCCTGAAGGAAATATCTGGCTCTTTAGCTGCTAAATGCTCCATGTTGTTCACCTGCTAGTTGCTAACTGTGTCTGTCTGCTGCTTGTCACTGAGCGGGTAGTGCACAGTGGGTTTAATCTGTTGAAATTTGCAGAAACTCTGCAGTTCTGAATGTGTGTCTTCAGCCAAATGGCTTCATATTTAGCCTAAATTCCCATCATTAATCTCTGCCTCTAGATGCCTGACCAGTTTGACCAGACGTTGGTTCTGAACCAGCTCAGATACTCTGGCATGTTGGAGACGGTCAAGATTCGACGCACCGGCTTCCCCGTCCGGAGACCATTCCAAGACTTCTGCTCCAGGTGAGTCGAGACTTTCATCACCTCACTCATACATATTGTATTCTTATGTGACAGGTATTGATGGTTGTGTCCACACTGCTCTGATGAAACTCCTACTGAAATAACCTCCAGGTGTTTGTTTAACTCCAATATTCTCCAAATGCTCTCAGCAATAAAAAAAAAAGATTACAGAATTAAACTAGAAATGGAGCAGATCTCTGATCTATGTAACACAAACCTGTAGAAATTCCTAATTCTCCTTTAATTAGTAGAATAAAAACAAGATCCTTTCCTCTTCAGGTACAAGGTGTTGATGCGGGGCGTGATGCTGCCAGATGACCCCAGGGGGAGCTGCGTCCAGCTGCTGCACCTCTATGACAGCAGCAGTGCAGAGTGGCAGCTGGGCAAGACCAAGGTGAGGACAGACATTTTGTTTTTGTACTCACATGAAGTTGTTTTGTCATCTTCATGTCTTTTTTATTAATGTTTCTATTGTATTCGACCACATGCATTTCAGATCCGAACAGTCAGAAAGAATCAAATGCAAATGATCAACGTACATGCCAATGGGCAGATTTTTTTGTTGTTGTTTTTATTGATAAATTGGGAGTAAAAACAATAAATCTTTCAGTGTATAAGTAATAGAGTATTTCATGTTAACTTTAAACACTGTGAATACAATTGATGAACTTTAAGAATATGATTAATAGATTAAAATGTGCTTTGTGCTTCCTCCTTGCCTCATGCTCAACCCAGGTTTGCTGCAAAAGGGGTTGTGGCTCTACTGCAGTCCACTTTAGATGATGTCGAACACTGACTGGCTTTTAGACATCTAACCAAATACGTTTATGCATTGGGAGGAGTAAACGTAGAAAAGTTATGAACTGGTTAAAAAAAGCTAATTTGGCTAATTAAAAAAATTCTCAAAACTTTTCCTCAGAAATGATTTTCTCCCCATATTTGCATTTCCTGTCTGTCGGCAGTGAACCATATCCCTTCTGCTCAGTTCTCTACACTGTAATTAACTTTCTGCTGTCAAATCCTGAATGTCCTGTCGATCGATCTGCCTCCGGCTCACTCCGGCTCATCCGTGTTCTCCTTGCTAAAACGAATGTGACCGAATGCAGACTTTCTTTGTCGCCGGGGGGACGCCAATCCATTTTGGCTGCACTTTACTCCCTTCAAGGCTTAATTTGGCTTCATGCGTCTAACAAATCCAACTCGATGAAACCATTCCAGAGCTCAGGTACCTGTGTGGCTGCAGGCTCGGAGTGTGTGAGATCATGAATAATTGAAGTCCAGAGCACCTGAAGCGTGGCATCCAACAGTTATTGGATCCAGTCTTCCTCCCCTCGGTCTATTGCTCTCTGCTTCCAGTACACTGAATCCAGAAAGAATATACCTAGCTGCCGTGTGTGTGTGTGTTGTGTGTGGTGTGTGTGTGTGTGATTGCTGTGGGGAAATGACAGATGGGGGACACAGATCCCTAATCACAGCATGACCGTGTGATGCTGCAAGAGGTGACAGCAGTGGAGGATGCATGTATGTGTGGGTGGACAGATGAACGGTCACTAGTGTGTGTGTGTGTGTGTGTTTGTCCAGGACCAACAAGCCCACAAGAAACTGAATTAAGAGTCAGTATCACAGTTGAATTCACCCATTCACCAAAAGACCAAATGTCACAGTAAAAAATTCAGCTCACTCGAGTAAAACAAGAAGAAAATATGTTTTAATAAAAGGAACAAAATGCCACAAAAACATTTTTTTCTAAAATAAAGCATTACACTAATGTGACCTTCTTACAGCTGCTGTTACACACTGTAATGCTTCAACTCCATCAGAAAGGCCATAAAATAAAGTAAAAGCTAAAAAAAGAGTAAAGCCATGTTTGAGCCCTGCTTGTGTTTGAGGGCAGGATTTTATATGGATCCAAAATGTTTAATCTTGTGTTTCTTTCTGCGTAAAGCTCCAGTGCCAATCAGGACACTGATTCTCTGATAACTTAAGCATCTCCAGACCAAAACCACCAAGAACCTTAAACAGTCCCGATCGGTAAAATGTGGCTTCAGACTGGACTAACAGTCAATGCTATGGACCAGCTCCTGGCAGCCCAAACACAACACTGCACACACAAAGCGATTATTGACCGCCATCGGAAAGGCGACTGGTGAAACGTAGCGTTACCTGAATAAAATATAGATTTTGGGATAATGTAAGAACACAACTCAACATATAGAACATAAAGCCAGAATTTATAGACATTTTAATGCAGAAATATTACATATTATAGTTTTAACTCTTTTAAATTTAAGGCCTTAGCTACAATCAAACGTTGAATGGTTGAAGAAGTACTCTTTGGAGGAGATGCCCCTCATTATGTGTCATAAATGTCATATTAGGAAGGAGCAGTGAAATAAGATGAAACATCTGCACACTGACTCCAAAACAAACATTAAGTCAACATATCTGTACACCCAGCTATCTCTCTCTCTTCTTTAAAACGTCTTGTTGCCAGAATGGTGAAGATGTAAATATTGAAGAAGACTGTTCAAGTCTCCCTCTCTCCCTCTTGGGGTTTTAATGTGCTCGATGCTCCTGTATGTCAGGGAAGACAAACGGCAACAGGGCAGCATTGAAATGTCACCATTTACCAGATTTACAGTGGTCTGTTTTTATTATGTCCTCTTGATTAAAACTCCTGAGAATATTCACTTTTTGACAGAAACACACATTGATTTGCATTTTAATGTGCAGACCTTTCTGAAATGTGGTGCGTCACGCCACCTGAAAGCCTTCTGTAGAGCCTCTCTCTGCATGACCCAAAAAGGCACTCCTGCTGCTGCAACTGCCCGTAAACCATTAAATCAATTCTATCTCCCTCAGAGGGATTCGTCCACTTTGTCCCCGCTGCCTCTCGCGGTGAGATTTACATCGAGCCGGGCTTCAGCTCCTTTCAGTCGGCACATGTCCCAACTATTGTCTAGGAGTTGTTTTTTTGGTTTTACAGCCTCAAACTTAATTTCCTGGAAGTGATGTGGCTCCGCTTGCGTCTCCCAGGGTTCTGTTCCCTCCACGGGCCCGACCTGTCACCGCGAACGGCGCTCCCTGAAGGCCCCGACAGCAAGAATCAAAAGTGCGCCGAGGCTTAGAGCGGCTTTTGTTGCACTAATTAGCATAGTAATGATTAAAAAGGATTAGTTGTTCTATTCATTAGGATGCAAATGTGCACGCTCGTACACGAGGCCACACTTTTTGAGCATGTGTGATTCATGTTGGAAGTTGTTTAATAAAGTGAGAGTGTGTTTTGTGTGTGTGTGTCTCACTTTTGTCTTTTATAGAAGTGTTTACTTGTGTCAGTCTGGGGACATAAATCTGATCACACATTGTGGGGACTCACAAAGACCTGGTCTCCACAATGCTAATCTTTCATTTTATGTTTGTGGTTTTGTAAGTACACTTGAATAAGTGTGTGTTTGTAGACATGCAGGAGTCTTTTTACTCTGTATGTTACTGTAAGCTTGGATAGCAGCACAAGAAATCTCAGTACTTTGGTCTAAGCTCAAATTCATGGAAGCCCATTCCTGCCAATGTAACCAAAAAAAAGGATTCTGTAAGTTATTATAAAGAGAAACTTTCTCAAAATAGTGACTTAGCCTCTTAAATAATGACTTTGTGATATTAGCAAACTTTGCTGTGTTGTTGTGTAACTGTGTTATTGAAGCAGTTCACTGACTTTATAACTATTCTCTTCTTTTGATGCTGTTACACCACTTTTTTAATACCTCTTGTGGCCACAGTCGCAGCACTTTTTCTCACAATAGCCTACTTGTGTACCTTTATTCAGAAAAGTTGACGTAATATTTTAAAAATAAGACTGTTAATTGTAATAAAGTGTATTTATATGTTGGGACTGTTTTAATACCAGTCTGGTTTTAGAGGTTTAATCAGCTCTGAGGCTTTAAATGCTGCTCCAAGGCTTCTGCAACCTTACAACAATTGAATTCAGGAGGAAGAAGTTTTGTGTGCCTCTGTCTTTGTGTGTGTGTGTGCGCACATGCTAGGGCATGTACTGCATGTTTCCCTGTTAATTAACCTGCTTGTCAGTGACGTCCAAATCACCCCGACGAGTTTACATTTCCTCCTGAAAATCTCATTAGTGCTTCACCGCTGAGGATTCAATGCTCTGTCACTCTGCCAACAACAGACACACACACACACA